TGCTCTGAAGGTCTCCTCGGGCAGGGTGCAACACACAGGCACAGGAACTGATGCTTTCTTGCTACTGATTAGGTTTAAAAAGAAAACTCAAATTCTTTCAATCAAAACACCCAGAAGTCAACATCCCAAAATGAAGTGTTTCCAGTTAAAATGTATCAGCTAATTTCATCTCCCAGAAAGGCACTAGGTGTACTGCTTTCAATATAAATACACATAGAAGGCAGAGAAACAGTTGTGACTGCAAACACAAACACAAGCTGCCCAAACCAAGGTCGCTGTGTTTGCTGCTGCTTGTTTATGACCCAGCAGCATTAGCAAAATAAATGCAGAGAACACATTCTGAAAGTGCATGCTACAGAGTGAGCCCAGTGCTCCACAGTCCTGAGCCCTCCGTGCCCAGCTCACAAATGCTGGTAAGCACCTGCTCAGCTTCAAGCAGGTGAGCAGTCCTTGCAGAAGTGAATCTTAGAAATAACAAAACTATATGATTTGCTTTCCATAAGAGTTGATTGCTTCTGAAAAGATTCCCTGGGATTTTTAACAAGGCTGACCCACAAGACATACTTTTTGACAAATAAAACACGTGCATGTGACAGAGTTATGTATGTTAATTTTTCACACTTCACAATGCTGACCTTCATGTTCCACAGTAGCTCTGTGCAGGGACTGCTAGCACTGCTATTCTTCAGCGTGCGGAGGCTAAACACTGACATCATTATTATTATTTAACTTCATGCAGTTTTTCTAAAACTGTCAAAGCAGCTCATGTAAAAATAGCTGTGGGAACTGGCAATGCACTGCCACGCAGAGTCACAATGTTGAGAAGCTGTGCTGAAGGCAGTCGCCTTTATTTTCCCCTTTTGAGTAGGACAAACAAAACAGATAGTGCAACTTTACACAGTTGTGCAATTGTACACATCTCACACACATCACTTGGGTTCCATTTGAGCAGTTCAATGACATCCCAACCCAATTATATACATAGCCAAGGACAGGAGCTGAAAACAGTTGTGCTAGTCTGTTTTTTCTTCTTGTTTTGGTTTCATAAAAAACTCTGGGTTGTTGACACACCTGTAAGCCAGCAGCTGGGGAAGAATCCCATACATTATGTTCAAGATCAGGAAAAACACCTTTGCTTCTTCAGGGACTCTGTAGATGTAAGGAGTTCGAGCATGAAGAGAAGCACCAATATGGGAAAATTGAGCCTGTGGTGTGTATATAACATATATGTTAAAAAAGGTAAAGTTGATGTATATTTTGGAAAGATGGCATAATCTGCATGCAAGGCTGCATCTCCAGTGACATTTTCCAAGCCAGCCCTTTTATTCCAGAATTATCCATCATACTTTTGCACACTGGTATAAAAAGACAGTCTAAACTAAGATCATTAATATATTGGTATAAGAGGCCTAACAGGAAATATCAGAGGTGTGGTGGGAGGTTTGGTTTATGCATGTGGTGGCACTGATCTTTACATCAAGTATAGCATTGCACCCTTGGCTTCTGGGTGAAAATTCATGCAGGAGAGTCCACAATCCTTCCCCAGGCAAATGGGCACTGAAAGTGCATCCCACAGAGCCCTGTGCTCCTGCTCAGCCCAGTCAGGGGTAGGACTCACACCCACCTGCCTGGGAGTGTTGCATCAGGCATCAATGGGAGCAGACAGACACTCCTTCACTCTGAATAATGTTAGAAAGTGGAATCTTAGAAGCTATGTTAGTTCTGATTTGGGTTTGGTTTTTTTTAACCTTAAACCCAGAGTGTTCCAGATTCTGATCCCAGAACTCCTAATGATTTCAGAAAATGTCTGCAATATTTGGATTTTGGGCTCAGGCAGTTCTGAAGTATAGGCTGAGTGTACAGTGAAGGTTATATGCCCAGACAAGCTTGCTGGCCTGAAGCATATTTTTAGCATAAACAAACATTTAAAGATAGAAGTGTCAGGATAGTTGCTGTCTTTTGTTTCCATCTGTTACCTGCTATTTCAAGCCACAGCTCATTCACATTAACTATCGTGTGTCCAAATTTTTTTATTATTATTCAGTTAGTTAGCAGTGGAGGAGATCTGAGAAGATAAGCATCAGTTTGATTATAAGCAGAGCACTGGGACACCAGGATTTTAGGAACACAGAGGAGTACACTATGGCCAAATCACATCCTCTGTTCTGG